CATCATAAAAATATTTTCACTCTAAAAAATTAAAAAAACCGTATTAGTACTAATAAAACAGACTTTTTCATTTTTATTCATGCATATACAATTTGTATATATATATTTTTTCTTTTTAGGCTGTAATATGACACAAGCATGATCAACTTATATCTGTGATATTCACACTTTTAGCACTGTCTTTAATTTTCAGTAGATAATGCACGCAGAGAGTGTGTGTATAGCACACTCCGAACTCAGCAGTCTCCTGTATTGTTCACTTGAAATAGGTTATTAAAATAATAAGGCCGGTGGAAGAGTTTTGATCCGAGAGTGACGCCTGATAATGTGCTTTGTCCTCTGTGCTTGGCATTAGACGTTGCCCTATACAGGAAAGGAGGGTTGCTATGTTTTATTACACTCCATTGTTCTGCACGAAACGGCAGCTTCAAAAAAAGAGATGATAGTTTGTTTTATTATTGCAAGATACAATCTGAACCAGGGCCATTTATTATGACTTCATAGCATTTGTAGTTTAACTTTGATCTTCCCAGATAAGAGTAGGAATGGCGTCAGGTTTTCTAGTTTATGGGGCTGTTTACATGTTTTGGCTGTTCATTTTCACTGTTCATTTATTTAACAGCGTTTTGGGGGCCAGAAATGGGTTTCAAAGTGCAAGTTTTTGAAAATGATATCATTGTCATCTATGTGTGAACTACAAAAACGTGATCTTGTGAAAAATGGTCATGCACATGTGTATTGTTCAGTCTATATACCGTGTTTCTTTACAAAGTGACATCGCCATCTACTGGCCTGGCATGAATAGTACAGCGTTTTTGTTGTTGTTTAGAATCCAGTATTCCTGTGATACTTTTGTCTTTTATGAGTTTAATGAAGAACTCGTCTCGTCTTCTGTCCAAACATGCCGCGTTATCTTTAAAGAATGCTCGACTTTTTCGTACGTCAGGTGACTTGTACATTTAAAAACAGTTTCCATTGCAGTTGTGCGAAGTATTCCTTTTTCGTATTGCCTGAAAAACCACCTCATGCGAGCGTAAAAACTTGTTTGCGATATATGGGAGTTTTTTTCTAAATAGACTGGGCATATTTTCAATTCGCAATTTCAATTCGCGCAATTTGAAGGGTAATGGAAACACGGCCACAGACTCAAACGTTTGTTGTCAAATGGATTTGTATTATTTATTTATTTTTCACGATAAATGTGTCATAACTTCTTATAAACTTTCATTCATATTAAAAACATGTACAAGAATATTTTTATTTTACTGTTTTTTTTTGTTGGTTTTTTTTGCACACATTTCTCAATACTTAAGTCACTTTTACAAAACTCTTCAAACAGTGATCACAACAGCAGTCTATGTGACCTAACCTGTGGATCATTTATCATTGCTTTGGCACAAAATTCAGTGATTACATCTTTTACATTACATGAATACATTTTTCACTTACACACAAACACCACCAAAACTCAGTGTACCAACAGGCCAATTTTCACACGTTTACATACTCTTTTAAAGCTCTTTTTACAACTGTTAAACTTAAGTTCAAAACCTAACATACTACAAAACTGAATTTGACAGCAAGTTTCAAGAGGAATACCATAATAAAATATATTCTGAATCTACAAAAGGAAATACTATACAAACTATTAGATGTAGCTGATTCTGTTACTTTCTATTTTTTTTCTACCGCGCATTCAATAAAGTAATGACTCGTTCACTGTTAGATGGTACGTTGCCAAGAATGCACACATTCAACACTCAACCAAAACTTAAAGTGAAAGGAAACTGAATTATAAAAACAATGGATTTCATATTGTCAGCAGGTACAAACATGTAATGCAGTTTTCATGATCCCATCAACTGTTATATTTGACAGTCATTGGGCTATGATTGACTATATGTTCATGTTGGGTAGAAAACCATGCAGTGCTTTGACAGAATGATTCAATTGTGAGTCAGGTTTGCTGTTTTGATAAAGTTAGTATATGAAGAAAAGTGTTTTAGTATTTTGAAATGTTTGTGTTTGTATTTATTTAATAAAATGTGGTTTTAGCCAGAAAATTTACTATTTGGCTAATTGTGTGATGGAGGTGTGTTGCTACATTAAGAGTTTAGAAAAAAAGCACTAAGTATTGGTAAATGCTTGTTAGCAATTGTAAAAAAAAACACAGTAATGTAAACATGGATCATGTAACACATACTGCAATGAATTATAAGCAGTAGAGAGTGTCTTCCTTCATTTGGGGAGACATTTTACTAAAGATCGTGTAATGCTCCTGCTGTTAGTGTGTTTTAGGTTGTTGTTTAATGAGTGACAATGTGTGTTTGTTGGTTGACAAAACGTTGCTAGTGTTCAAGAAGAATGACTTGATTTGAGACATGAATGAAGTGTTTTTTTGTAGCTTTAGTGCATTTTGGATGCAAAATTATGAAGCCAGTTAAGCTCATATTGAGATTGCTAGATATTCAAATAAGATAACTGGCATAAACCTACAGTATATTAATCTGAATTATTTGTCATGTGAACACTATAGCTAAATTGCACTTTTCTGTGCTAAGTAATTACCTTTTAAACCAGAGTACATATCTTTATGGGACAATTATGTTCATGTAAACATGGTAATTAAAGAGCAATTTGATTGTGCCCTTTTACGTTTCATCTTGAGTATGTTTTGTTCTGTCTTGTTTAATTTCGAAAAGTAACTATTTCACAATTCCCGGATATTGATACTGTAAATCAACAGAGCGTAAATTTGAGGGTTGAAGTTAATGATTTCTCTTTAGCTGAGGGATGTTAGTGTGCAGTTGCCAATGAAACACAATACGCCAGGGATATGAAACGTGTGTATGGTCAAATGACCAGTAAATCATTGATTTTATATGACCTAAATCAAACAGGGAAAATGCAGTTACCAAAGCTGCTCTTGCCAGTCTCAGAGCTTCAATAACCAAGAGCAGGTCATCTAACAATTCATATTCAATTATAAATCAGGACATTACAAATTAAATATTTAAGGCTAAAAAGAATTATAAGAACATATTGGAGCAGGACTTTGCAAATATGAATACCAAGCAAGACTTTTAGAAAGTCAGGACTCTTACTGGACAAGCCTTTAAACAGACTACGGATCCTACCACATTTGCTATTAATCTTAATAATTTGTATTCCCATTTTGATACCTCTGATTTTACAGCAGCCTTTTGGATTCTTTGCCTTTTCAAGATTTGGATTACAAGTCCCTTCTAACTAGGCGGGATGTCTATTTCCAGGTCTTTAACCGAATACGGCTCATGGGCCGGATGGAATTCCGGGTTCCTGAGAAACTGCGTCCTGGATTTAACCCCTATGCTTCATTCTCTCTTCCTTCGATCTCTCTGTACTTCAACAACACCTGTCAAATCTGGAAATCATCAATTGTTATTCCTCTCCCCCCAAAAAACTCGTCAATCAGAGTTAAATCACTACAGGCCTGTATCGTAAACACCTATCATAAAGAAATGTTAAAAAAAGATAAAAAAACATTATGCTTCCATATGTTACACCATTTTTAGATTGTCTCCAATTTGCATATAAGCAGAAGAGAGATACAGATGATGCACTGGCTTGTCTATTGCACTGTTCAGTACATCTGGAAATTGCTGGAAATTTTGTCCGAATTCATTTTATTGACTTGGTTTTTAATTCAATTCGCGTCATCATGTAATAATAAGGAAACTACAGTGTCTGCAAGTTCCATCATCACCAATACATAGGACTTATAATATTCTTTCTAATAGAGCACAAGTGGTAAAGGTGGACAATGCATTATCGCCAACATTATTCTCAATACTGGCGCCCCCCAGGGGTGTGTACTTAGCCCGTTTCTTTATAGTCCATTTACCACTACTCATTACTTTTAATATGCAAATGGTGCAGACTACAGACATTTTTGCTCTGCTTAATAAGGACAATGACTCTTTCTTTGGACTATCAATGATCCATAGCATATTTTAGTACGTGGTGTGATGATATCTTTCTTCACCTTAATATTTCAAAGACTAAGGGTGGAGTATCTCAGGATTACATTGGATCAAATTCTAGCTGTTTACAAGTGCTGTCAAGAGAGGCTGACAGTTATTTGTAAACTTAGACATTTGTCTGTACAGCCTTGTCGTCGTCTTCTTTTGTATTGTAGTATTATTGAGCCAGTTCTTATGTATGGTGCCATTTGTTTCTTTCGTATGCTAACAGTTACCAATAAGGGTAACTATTACTCTAAAAAAATTACTCTAACCCTAACCCAATAAGAACAAACTCTTGAAGATAAACCATTTAGCTAGTTAAATTGTAGCTATCCCTACCCCTAATTTATCGGACCGTGTCTTTACAAGCACATAAAATCTGAAATGACCCAGACCACCCACTATCAGTATTTCAGCCCTCTTCCTTCTGGCCATAGATTACCCATGTGTAGAAAGGCCAGTTATAGTATAAGTTATGTTCCTGTAGCTGAAAGAGCTTTAAACACATAAGAAATCAGCCACTGATACATCATCTTATGTCCTTGCTTTTGTATGTGTGTGTGTGTGTGTGTGATATGTCTGTGATACATCAATAGCAGCACAAGTGTTTTGCAATAGAACATAATGAGTGTATTGTACTTTTTTCTTTTTTCTTTTTGATGTAAGTACATATTAGTTAACGACACCTAATATAAAGTGTGACCAAAAAAAAAAAAACAAGCTTAACATTTCTAGTTAAAACATTTGGTTGCAGAAACTAAGGGACGAGTCATAATTATTTTCTGATTGAGCTCAAGTTGTATAAGCATACATTTTGATAAGTATCATTTAATCGTATTACTGTTTTTTCTTAAGCTATTAGCACTTTATTCATCATTGCTTTTTATTTGCCCAGACTGGTCGCAGCTTGTCTTTGCGCAACACGGTGAGAAGACAGACCCAGAGGGAGTCTCAGAAGGGCTGGAATGTGAAGTCTCAATCCAATGGGATGAAGACCAAGGAGAGGTCTTCTACTGTGCGTTATAACTCTGGAAGTGTACACTCCATGATGCTGGAGAATAACCCGCTGGTCAGCGCCAGCCAATCGCAGTTCATTAACATCAAGCCTTCCTCCAGCCAATCACAGATAGGGACGAAAGTCCCCATTACCAGGAGCAAATCAGAAGGATCGGGGTGAGTGTGTAAGAAATTTCTTTTGGCAAAAACATCTGCGTCCCAAGTACTACAGTATAAGTACTATGCAAAAGCACATTAGATGCTTGATAGAAACATTTAATTTACCATATTTTGGTAATGGTTTAATTAAAGCCTTTATACATGCCTTTAAGGTGAATAATAATGTATTATAACTGTAGTTACAATTATTCATGAGACCATACAATGCATTATAAGGCAAACTACAGTACTATGCACTGTAAAGTCTCATATCCTCTGTCTGCTAGTGTGCGCCTAAAAAATAACTTTTGGCAAACTTTACAATCTTTCTCCTTTTTCTTCTAGAGAAAAAAAAAACTATTTGTTTAAAAAAAGGAGTTAACTTTAATTTTGTGTCTCTTACATATTTCAAACCCATGGTTCAGTACGAATGGTGCCACTGTAGAAATGCCTGATATCGGTCTGGAGGAAGCAGTGCGTTATCTGTCACTCTCGGATGAGAGCACTCAGCTGAGGGGAGCTTCATTCATACAACACCAAGCCTTCACAGAAGACGAAGCCAAAGAAAAGGTCAGGAAACTGCTGCATGTGCCAAGATTTTAGTCCCAATTCAAGGCAATGGTTAATTTGTCAGTTAATGTGTTGATCTTTCTGATAAAATGCTAAGATCTATTTATCTGTCTGTCTGTTTGTCTATCTATTTTGATCGGCCACAACATTTTAGGAGCAGGTGAACAGTCAGTTTTTGAATTTCATGTGTTTGAAGCAGGAAAATTGTGCAAGCGAAAAGATCTGAGTGACTTTGACACGGGGCTAAATAAGGATGGCTAGACATCTGGTTCAAAGCATCTCCAAAACGGCAGGTCTTGTGTGGTGTTCCCTGTTAGCAGTGGTTAGTACAAAAGTGGTGCAAGGAATGACTTTGTAAACTGGAGTCAGGGACAGGGTCATGGGTGCCCAAGGCTCATTGATGCATGTGGGGAGTGAAGGCTATAGCCCTTCAGGTCTGATCACACAGAGCTACTGTAGCTCATATTGATGAAAACGCAACCCTTGTGCATCCTTATGGACATTTGTATCTTTTTCAGTTTTTTTTTAGTTTTTTCTTATTTTTAATGCCGACTGTATACATTTTGGCACACGTGTGCATTTTTATTGGAATTTTACTATTTCACCCCCATTTCCTTTAATAAATCTATTTTACACTAAGTACACAAAATAGTTACTCTCAGGACAAAAATGTCCCCATTGAAACCGCAATTTTTAATCCCAGGGCCATTTAACTATAAAATTATGTTGTCATCGTTAAAGTCCCCCTGTGGTGAAAATCCAGCTTTTAATGTAGTTTATATGTATATGTGGTGTTTTTAATATGCTTTAAGACAAACCATGTGTAAATTCATAAGTCACACCATTGCTGAATATTTTCTCTTTAAAACTGCAGTGAACCAAAGACAGTCTCAAAAACGCGGTTTGAAATCGCTGGATCGTTTTGGATGTCACAAGCTACCTTGTAACCAATCTGGTGTGAGTGAGTGGAGGCGGGGCTAATTTGCATATTCATAGAATCGCATATACTAAATGAGGCAAGGGTGTAGAGTTACATTCAAGCTATTTTAAGGCAGATGATGACCCCTGTCCACTGCCGAAAGAGCCTACAATGGTCAAATGAGTGTCAAACCTGGATCACGGAGCAATAGAAGAATTCTCTTTTAGATCAGGTGGATGACCAGGTGCTTTTGCATCGTTTACTTAGTGGAAAAGATGACAACAGGATGCACTATGGGAAGAATGCAGTGCGTCGGAGGCGGTGTTGTGCTCTAGGAAAAGTTCTGCTGGGAAACCCTGGTTCCTGGTTCGTGTGGATGTTACTTTGACACGTACCACCGACCTAAAGGTTGTTTCAGACCAAGTACATCCCTTATGGCAATGGTGTTCCCTAATGAAAACGGCCTCTTTCAGCAGGATAATGCACCCTGCCACACTGCAAAACTTGTTCAGTAATGGTTTGAGGAACATGACAAAGAGTTCAAGGTGTTGCCTTGGAATCCAAACTCCCCAGATCTCAATCTGACTGAGCATCTACAGGATGTGGTGGACCTACAAATCCGATCCATGATGGTTCCACCTCGCAACTTGCAGGGCTTAAAAGGATCTGCTGCTAATATCTTGGTGCCAAATACCACAGGACACCTTCTTGTAGAGCCCATGCCTCGACATTTCAGAGCTGTTTTGGCAGCAAGAGGGAGATCATCTACATGATATTAGGGAGGCGGTTTTAATGTTGTGGCTGATCAGTGTATATCTGTCTATCCGTCCGTCTTAAATATACTTCAGAATAATGATATTTAAATAATGTACTAATAAGTGTTGTTTGGTATCACTGAAAGGTTTGGCGGTTGTCAGGGATTCCTCCTCTGATTAAGTTGCTGAAAAGTGACAATTTACAATTGCAACAGACGGCCGCCTCTGCACTGCGCAACATAGTTTTTAAAGACAAAAATAATAAGCTGGAGGTGGAAAGATGTGAAGGAATAGAAGCCATTCTGACGTTGCTCAAAAACACCAACGTAGAAGAAACCCAGAAACAACTCACTGGTAAGACGTGCCACTCTCGCTCGAATCCTTCCTGTGGTTCAATATATTAATGTGTCGTGTGTCATTGGTTGTTGTATGACCTCAGCAATTTGTATGTTAATGGTGTTCTTTATAGTTAACTTGAAAGAAAGTGACGCGAGTTGGTTTTGTGTTTTGATATTAATGTGTTTATCAAAAGCGATTTAAAAAGAACAATGTGAAGGATACAGCGTGACCCTCTGGTGTCGGATGTGTTCAGGTTTGTTGTGGAATCTGTCCTCGGCTGATGAGCTGAAGCCAGAGCTGATCAAGAACGCCATGCCCCTGCTTACAGAAAGCATTGTGGTGCCATACAGCCTTTGGACTGACATCAACACCTGCAAACACATTGACCCAGAGGTCTTCTACAACACCACCGGCTGTTTCAGGTGAGAGTTGCACTGTCTGAGAACTGACTGTTGAGTCCAAGGGCATGTGATATCCGAACAGATGATGAATAGAATAATATTTTCAAGCGTTTTAAAGCTTTTATGCTATTTTAAAGGTTGCTATTTTTGTTTTGGGGGTCTCCTACAATCGGTTTACATGCATTCAAGTTAAAAAAAATACTTAAATTCTCTCATAATATACATTCCAGCATCACCTCTTTACTCACAGTGCCTAAAACGGTTTGATCAAGGATTCGGTCTCTATAAACCCTTCCTTTCCGCGAGCCTGGCCTGCTCTGATTGGTCAGATAGAACAGTCTGTTGTGATTGGTCAACTCTGCTCTGATTGGTCAGATGCAGGCCTTGACGCTAACTTTTCTCAGAAGGAGCAAATGGGCAGCAGGTTAGAAACACTAAACCACCTGCAGTTGGTTTCATCTGTCTTAAAATTAAGTAAGGAACAATTGACGACAGGCCATTGAATTATTAGAAAAATAATGCACACCCGAGGTGGTAATGCGGTCACGACGCGAAGAGTTCAAAATGAACGAATCTTTTTTCGAGTCATTGACTCGTTCATCAAAATGAACGAATGTTTTTTCGAGTCATTGACTCGAAAAAAGATTTGTTCATTTTGATGAACGAGTTCGAACAGGAGAGTTCACAAGGCGAGCATTTGTGCCTATAACACTTTAACTTTTTTATTTATTTTTGAAATGACCGATCGTTTCGCTAGATAAGACCCTTATTCATAGTCTGGTATCGTTTAAAGCCCTTTGAAGCTGCACTGAAACGGTCATTTAGACCTTGAACCGTTTGGCTACCATTGAAGTCCATTATATGGAGAAAAATCCTTGAATGTTTTCATCAAAAACATTAATTTCTTTTCGACTGAAGAAAGAAAGACATGGACATCTTGGATGACATGGGGGTGAGTAAATTATCAGCAAAAGTTTTTTTAAAAGTGAACTAATCCTTTAACTACTAGCTGAAACATTCGAAGACTGGCTGTTCCCATCGACTGTAGTAGCAGGTCTTAAACACAGACTGAACGCGCTGAACACGGGTTTGGGCATGATCTGTCATTGTCATAAGTGTCAAATCACATTCATAACTGGCCTTAGAGTAAGTGTGTCCCCGGCTTTATGCAGTTATTAATGCAGTTATTAGAGAGAGAGAGAGAGAGAGAGAGAGAGAGAGAGATGTTGCAATAATGAGACAGAAAAGCATATGCGTCAATATTATTATTTATTTATTTATTCAATTCGTTTTAATTAATTCGTTCATTCTCGTTTTATATTATTGACCGTAGATAACCCAGTAAATGAAACACACAAAGCCCTTTTAACAAGTAGGCCTGTCAATAATTATGTATTTGTTATATTATCTGGAATAATTACGAAAACCCGTGGGACTATCAATTTATTTTAGATATTCAGTTTAATTTTATATTTATTATAGATAGGACTATATACTTTATTTATTTATTAAAATTACACTGCATGTGTCCATTGATTGTGAAGTTAGATATCGAAAATTGCAGATCAAGCGCATGGGGCTGCATGTTTTTTCTTGTTATGAATTGTATCCTATTTTCCGTTATGACAGTTAACTACGCGCAGTGATATGGAACTGTAATGCGGTCAAACCTGCCTGGAACTACTTTAGCCGTGCGTTTCCCTGAAAATAATTGCACACCTTAGAACGTTCTCAACCAATCAGAATCAAGCATTCAACAGCCCTGTAGTATAATCTGTGCTAATCCACAGCAGATTTCTCAGAGCTGCCATGTTGTGCCATGCATGTTTTCATACCAACGTTGTATAATCAATCACCTTGCTCCTTATCAGAGGCATATCACGTGGTGTTTACTTGGGTTGGACAGAGAAATGTGACACCACAGACTGGCACACATATAATCAAGTTTGTTGTTTGTTTTCTAAGGATAATTTGTAAAAGTAATGTCTGTTTTAATGCTGAGTTTTGGTTGTGGTCTCACAGAAACCTCAGCTGCGCCAGCGATAAGGAGAGGATATCTATGAGGAACTGCACGGGACTTATCGACTCTCTCATCACTTATGTTCAGACTCAGGTGGAAAGAGGAGAGCCAGATGATAAGGTTATCATGCTTTCATTTTTTTCTGCATGATCTGCAAGCACATGGACAAATATGTGGACACCAAAAACGCTGTCCCAAAGTTGGAAGCACAATGTTCTTTTAAATTTATTCATTTTAGAGGTTAAATAAATTATGTAAAATGAAATTGTATGCTGTTAATAAAAGTAAAAACCTATTTAAAAAACAAAAAAAAATCCTTGAAGCGCTTTTAAAATACACAGCACATGGACAAAAGTTTGTGGACACCCCATTTTAATAAACCACCACTTAATTTCCGTCTTAATTGTGAAGCCTGGTATATAATATAATAGTCAGAAAATGTTCTTATTGAACCTTTAGACACAATTTAAAAAATATATATTTTTGCTGCGCATAATATTTGATGCATCCAAATTTTATTGTTCATATCGTATGATATAGGAGAATATTGAGCTAATATTCGAGGACAAAAAAATTTTTGCAATTGCAATTTTATGATCAAAGCTCTGTTGTTTGCATTGAATGCAATGCAATAATGATCGAGAGATGAACAAATAAATGTTCCTCAAAATCCTGATGGATCAAATTTGATACATTTTAACATGATTTTTCTTTTTTTTTTTAAATGGTGAATGGATAATCGAGTAAACCTATGTTGTTTCAGTCCAGTAATTGTCTTGAAATATTACTAATAATTTAAAAGTTCTTCTTATATTTACTTTATAAATATCAGTAAAGTTTTCGCAACAAAAAGTCATGTGAACCATTATCTGAACCTTTTTATACTAAATGTACGTTTTTATACTGAATTATACTAAAAGGCCTTTTAATTGCTAAGAACTATCAATCAGATGATAGAAGGAATGTAATAAAGTACAATAAAGCAAAGTTTTTATCATGTTGAAAATCTATAGGCCTTTCTTTTGCGCATCAAATATGATACAGCAGGCTTTATAGGGTCAAGCATATTCATAGAATTTTAACTTCAACCAGAATACTCCAGAATATTGACAAAAATGCAGTGCAACAAGCTAAAATTGACTTTTGTGTCCTGGTTCTCTGTTTATGTGATGCGGGGAGCAGTCAGTGGAAAACTGTGTCTGCATACTCCATAACCTGAGCTACCAGCTGGAGAAAGAGGCTCCTGATCACTTCCCAGAGTTCTCTAACCCTGACGTGAGCCCACAAGAGAACAAAAACAACAAGAGCATCTTCAACCACAAGAGAACCAAGACTCAAAAGGTACAAGCTGTTCCTGATGAAATGACTAACATGCAGTATGTTTTAAATGCTGGTCATGGGATGCTGACTGAACTTTAAGGATTAGTTCACCCAAAAATGAAAACTCATTACATTCCAAACGCGTATGACTTTCTGTGTAAAACAAAAGGAGAAATTTTAGGCTTCTATTTTTGAATTTTAATTCACAGAAGAAACGGACTAAAATGTATGTTTTGGGTGAACTAGTCCTCCAATTAATACTTTCTGGTCATTGCCATAGATATAATGGTACACTCAAAAAAATAACTCTTTGGTTGAACATGATTCAGTCATGGACAGTGGCTCCACATGATTGAATTAAGTTATCTGGATACAATTGAATCACGTTATTTGGACAAGATTGATTAAAGTTATTTAGACACGACTGAATCAAGTTATTTAGAAACGATTGAATTTAGTTATTTGGACGTGTCTAATTTTAATTGAGTTTACTCACTTTGCTTAAGTTCATCCAACATGAAGTATTTGAGTTGAGATAACATGGTTCCATCGTTGAATCATGTTCAGCCAAAGAGTTTTTTTTGTGTGTAGAAGTGACCCAAACAACACTAACTAGCCTGAACCAAGTTGTTAAGCGTTTAAAAGGTGTGTTTAATACATTCACACTCCTTTTTGTGATCAGGCGGTCAGCTTCTCAGCCATGGAGGTGGATAAGCCTGAAGGAGTGAATTGGTTGTACCACCTGAAGTCGCTGCAGCTGTACCTGTCTCTGCTGGGCTTCAGTCAGAAAGAAGCCACCCTGGAGGCGTGCTGTGGAGCTCTGCAGAACCTCACAGCTTCAAAGAGCCCTGTATGTGCTTCTACACGGGATACAGTTGACATTGAACTTGACGCGGTCCCAGCGGAGTAAATTCAGTTGTATTGAAGCTAAGCCCATACAAAGTCTTAAATATCTGAAATTGTATAAGAAATTTAATTTGAAGAAGTTTGGGGACAAAAAAAAACAGTAATCGCAGTATGGCTTAATGTGATTTATTAAACTTCAAAAGGCTATGATTTAAAGGTGCTGTAAGTAACTTTTTTCACTCTACTAAAGCAGTGGTTCTCAACTCCAGTCCTCGGGACCCACTGCTCTGCATATTGTGTATGTCTCCCTTATTTAACACACCTGATTCAGATCCTCAGCTCGTTAGGATAGACTCTATGAACTGAACTGAGTGTGTCAGATAAGAGAGACATACAAAATGTGCAGAGCAGCGGGTCCCGAGGACCAGGGACGTGCACAGACATTTTGAGGGGCAGGGGCTCAAGTGAAAAAAAGGGCACTTCTCATACGTTTTTTTTTACTTTTTAAAAAAATTATTAAAACATTTAATTAATTTTATCTTCCTCAAACTCACGCAATTGTTTCATTTTCAAAAGATGTCTACAAAATAATCAGTTCACACAGAAACCATGGTCTCCTTCGTATTCATAGGTTTAGAGCAGCAAAGGAAACCATGCCACAATGTGCATGTTTTCTATGCTACTTCAATCAAGTATATATTTAATACACCTGCTGGTGACATGGACTTAGTTTCAAATTTGAGGTAGGACTGTATCATCATCATCAAATAAAACCTTCAAAATCCACATTTAGATGGAGTTTGTTTTAAACCTACACTATCCTCCATCTGTTTGCATCTGTAGATTTCTTCTAAATTCACCAATTTAGATTTCTACATTTCAGTGGGAAAGACTCTTGATGTATGTAAGTCATTAACTTTAATAATAAGAATTTTAGGCCATAAAAAGTCATAAAAACGACCCGATTTTCCATACAAGGTCATAAATTACATTTAGCCACGTCTTAAATTGATATACTCATTCATTCATTATCGCCAAATAATTTTTCTCGATAAAACGATATCAAGTTCGAGTCAATATCGTCAATACTCAATATCAATATCGAGTTCGAATGTTCGAAAATGTGCCAAAAGCGGAACGAAACTCATTTGAACCGCACGCGCCTCACGGACTGTTTATCCGCTCGGCTCAAAGTCCAAACGGCAGCAGCGCGAGCTCACTAGAGCAGACGCGTTTACTCTGATCGGCGCTTCAGAACTCCTGACCTGATATTTAGTTACACTATTCAATAAATATATTTGTTTGACAGGGAAGCTGTGCGCAAACAGGAATATATATATAATTTTTCAAAAAAAAAAAAAAAAGCACCCCAGAAAAAAGGGCACTTTCTCTTCAGGAATAAAAAGGGCAGGTGCTCAAGCCCCTTTTGATGTCAATGTGTGCACGTGCCTGCCGAGGACTGGAGTTGAGAACCACTGTACTAAAGCATACAAACACCATATGTTTGCAGATATTTAGGAAACATGCTAAGTTCACACACTCATTTCTCTGAAAAACACTTCTACAGCCAGTTATTTAACTTATTATTTTACATGTTCCGTGTTGTCTGTCAGTTTTTGTTTTGGTCTGTGTGATCTCGCCCACTGCCAGTTCACCCAATATTATTTCGACACCCCGGGATGCCAGTTGGCAGGAAGCACAGCGTATTGCAGCCAGCGAACAAACTGGGTCAGAGATTGGAGATTCCACACAACCTAAAAAGCCTCGGTATCCATCTAAAAATCTCTATGAACGAGAGCATATTAAAACGCAGATAAATCAACTCATCAACTTAGTGTAAGTCTCCTCGGCTTTCATTGTCAATTGACTGTTCGCAAAGACCCGCCCCCTTTAGTTACTGTTGCTATGTCCGACAAGCTACGCCTCTCTCGCGTCGATCAACGATCTCTGATATTTTAAATTTGGACTGCAGTACCTATTTTGACCACTAGCTGTCATTCTTACAGACTGCACCTTTAATAAAAAAATATGAGAACTGCACATTTCATAGTAAAAACGCAGCACTGTTGTAGGTTCTAATGGCTCACAGTTTTCAGAGCAGTTCGCAATCTATAAATACTGCACATTTGCCTAGCGATTCCTTATGATCTGCTATTGATGAATTATGACAATGTTTACTTTGTGTTTATATCATACCTGCAAACTAGTGACATTCATACCCTATCTTAGTAAATAGTTTGAAGACTGAAATGTGAGGTTTATCATTTTATGAAACTTTTTGTTTTTGTCAACCAGTATTATTTGAGCTGTAGATTTGTTTAAATCTTAATTTTACAGTCATTTTATGGTACCATTAGATGGAGATGAAACACTAGACTGAACACGTAGTACGCATGTGCATGACATCATCGTCTTCAGAGATTCGTGTTTTTGTTGTTTACACGGAGACCGTTTTCAAAACCTTTCACTTTGAAACCTTGCACGTTTTCAGGTACCTAAAACGCCGTTGTCGCGTAAACGAAAGGCCAAAACGCATAAAAAGTTTTATGTTTTTATTTGAAAAGGGTGTCTTGTAAACAGCCCCTTAAACTGTTGTAAATCTTGAATGCTTTGGAGCACAGACTCAAGTTTGGTCTCTTTTTAAAGAAGACATTTGGCAGATTACGTGTTACTCTAAAACTGTGAGAAAATCAAAGCCATAAATCTAAACAAGTTGTGTTCCAAATTTGAGCTTGATATCTAAAAAAAAAAAAAAAAAAGATTTCAGTAAGATTTTTTTTGGGCAGTACCAGAGGTTTCCACTAGATGAAATTCGTTTCACATTCGTTTCAAAAGCTGTAATTTTTGACACAAGCTACTTTTTTCCCCTTGTCTTCACATAGCAGGTCCCAAAACCTTTACCAGGTTTCATACCATTCCGATGAAGTCAAAAAAACAAAAAAACGTAACCTTTTTCGGTAAAAAATGACAGAAGAGCATCAGAGGTTTAATATGTTACCATAGACATTACCCTACCCTGCCCATGTGTGTTAATTTTATTTGTGCAGGTCATAAAAATGATCTTAAAAAGCCTTAGATTTGATTTTAAAACCCCTGCAAATGCTCTTCTAGAGGAAAAGCAGTTAAACTTTTATTTTGATTGGACCTCTGCACAGGTGTCCACTCTGATGAGTCAAACCATCATAGAGAAGCTGCATGGCTTGCCTGTCATTTCCCCTCTGCTGAATTCTCCAAACTTGGGCCTACAGAAGACCGCCATGTCCTTAGTGGGCAACATATCCCGTGTGGCATCTCTACGGAGTACTATGGGTAAGAGTCTTTTTTTCACACTTTCACAACTTACACACTACTACATAATTTTGTGTTACACCATTAAACTTAGTTGAAGCGTAACTCTACGCATAAACTAAATATTTTCAGAAGCCTCCAGCTAGAAGTAATGGTTGGAATTAAATAGCAGGCTGAATGATCTGCATCAATAAGCTCTTGTTTTACCCGACAGACTTCAATCCTTTAGACAGAAATTATCATTTTGACATTTACACTCGCTTACATTTTACACACTTTCATGACGTAAAACTGCTTTGACTGTGGGGTAGAAGTCTGCTCCTTGAAAGTTTTTGGGATGTGCTGGAGGAGACTTTACCATCACAACATTTATTTCCATGAAGAGGTGCATGATTTTTTAGTCAAGATCTTTGTTTTGACAATGCAAGAGTTCTCTATAAAGTCTCCTCCAGCTCATATCAAGGCCAGTTAAAACATGTCATGCTAGTGTGATATTGCTTTTTTGCAAAATTGTGATTATTCACATTCTGTATGCAAGACATTTACAAGTAATTCATATTGAGCCCAGTTACCTAAAACATGTGACATTTTACTGTGATGTTCCTTTTTTAAACACAAGCAATATAGGGCTAATTCATATCGAGGCCAGTTATTTAATATATGTTTTCTTCCTCTAATGGAAAAAAAAAACCAAAGCATCAAACTCGCACGTCATCAAGTAACGTACAGACTGCAGTGTTATTTTGCACAGTACACTGTAGGGCTGGGCGATATGGCGATATTATCGTATATCGACGATGTCTCGCAAGTATCGCGATGTCGATTTAACAGTCTGTTTCCAGACGATAATCGTCAATATCAAAAAATGACATAGACTTATATTTCACAGCCCTATAGTAAAACATATTTATTCACATGCAATAACATGAATGATATATTTTTTATAGGCTAGTTAGTAGCCTAGTCTTGATAGCATTCTTAAAGCGCAAGACGAAAGAGAACACGTCTGCACACAAAGCGCGCAAAGAGCCGCGTCTCACATAGTGCACGGACAAATACACAGAATTATATCTCACAATTATCCTTTTAGATAATTTATAGCATCAAATAAACATCAGAAGAATTATTGTTTAAACCGTGGAAAGACTTCAGTCTTCAGAAAGACACCTCTTTTCAAGTTCAAATATCCCCGTAAACAGACGGTTTTGTTTTAAACGGTTGAGAAAGAAAAACAGTAGGCCTATGTCCATTGAATCAGTCCACTGACAGCCTATACTCGCTGCCACCATTAATGTTGATCAAAGAACAAAAGAAAAAGAAAATCACTCTGTGAACTTTTGTAACTTTAATTAGCTTAATATTTGATTTGCCTGTTGTTCGGCGCTGACTGCTTCAACTGCAACATGAGTCTATATGCAACTTTGAGATGCGTTCCCTGTCAAACATCATAATTTTGTTAAATATTTTTTCTTCATATAATCAAGTAGCCTAGGCCTATTTTATTTTGCAGGCTGATAAAAGATCATCAGAAAAACAAATGGTAGAAGTAGGCTAACTTTACCCGTTTCTGAATATTAATTTAAATGTTGCACATAATAAATAGGTCTAATCAAAAAGCACAAACATGACCATTGTGATTAAAATTAAAATTTCGTTATATTGCAAACGGATGAAGAAATTGCGTTGCTTTGAATATCTCATGCACGCGTTCGGAGTTTACAATGTTGGCAGCTCCGTTAGTATAGGCTATATTGGGATCGTTATACTTTGCTTTAAATTAAACAAATAAATAAACAAAACAATCAAAAAAATCCCCAAATATAATTTTTAATGACTTTCTGTCTAAATAAACAAAGCAGTCATTTTTATTTCTTAAACAAAGTTCTTGACCTTGGAACTCTAAAACCAAAAAGGAGGAAAAAAAACAAAACGTTTTTGCTCATGCAGAACAAAACAATTCGTTTTTATTTCCTAACTTTAGACAAATAACAAATATATTATAGTTTGAATACAAGTTTAAAAACAGCGCTACACATTATCAGGGAAATTAAACGTAGGCTATCATTAAACCAGGCGATTCCGCCAAAATAAAAGAGAGGAGAAAATCGGATCTTATGAAACAAATAGGCAAGACACCTTGCTATAACATCAACATGCATTCACCTTTCTTACAATCACCAAATTGTGTTCTGTTCTGTTCAGTTGTATTTAACATTTCTCCTCGCGAAATGAAATTCATTTCAAACACAGATGCAATAAGAACAGTGAGGAAATTATTAGCAACACTAACATCACAAGCAAAGCTTATGTTTTATGCTCGTTTAAGCTCAAACTAACCAAAGTAAAACCTTTAATGTTTCAATCATTCAATTAAACCAACTAAATCGCAGGCTCTCATTAGATAAAGTGCAGCCGAACTCAACATGACTTGTGTTAACGGTGTATGTCGGTAGTGTTGTCTCCAGCGGGGCGTGTAAGGGGCGGGGCTTGGGTAGACGATATAATCGGATATCGCGATATTTTTTTTAGACGATTATCGATAAAATATTTTTTACATATCGCCCAGCCCTAGTAGACTGTACTGCACTTGCAGCATTAACATTGCTAACGTTCATGTTGTTGTTGTCAACCACAGCCAAGGAAATTCTTCCCAAAGTCAGCACTATGGTCTCGACTGTGACCCCGAAAATGGTTGAATCGGACCGCTCCATCTCTACAGCGTGCCGCGTGATGCACACACTCATGCTGGCAGAGCCTGACATTGGGAAGACGATGTTGAACCAAAAACTCATCGACTCTCTGAGCTTGCTGAGTTCAAATGTGTAAGTGTGTCCAAAGGAGAATACATGTATGACAGTGAAGGAATGGCATTAGCAAATATTAGCAAGCTCCTGGCTGGAGTTTTAGGGGGACAGAAATGATAAATGACTCTATGACAATGATAAGTTGTGCGATATTCCCCCAATTTGATGTGTATTAGCAGAGACCATTCTGTTTCTCTCTTGCTCGCAGATTTTTCGACACAGCCAGAAAGGATGCTGGAGTTCTTCTCTGGAGTTTGTGGGGAGAAAAGGACTTCCAGAATGTGCTGAAAAAGGTAAGACCGTCCCACCTCAAACTGCTCAGAGGAGGTAAAGCAGTCTATATACAATATGCTATACATATTCATTTCTTTAGTTAATTATAAGTGCAAATGCATATATTATAAATAATATTATTTTATTTTATTATGATATGATTTAATTATGTTTTATTTGTCATTTGCCTAATTAATCTGACCATTATTATTATTATTATTTATTGGTATATAATTAAATTATTGATATTTAATCGTGCTCATTTCAACAATCAACAACAACAAAAAACAACAACATTTATGAATATTTTGAATATTTACTATGTAGAAAGTACATAGTAATGTTTTGAAAAGCACAGAATTATTAGAATATTTACAGTAGACGGTCTATTATGAGTGGAGGCAGATTTAAATTCATAGACACCAATGAAGGGGAAACCCGAAAACATTTTGCCACCTTTCACTTGTTGCATTCATCCATCTTTCTCTTCCATTGCCCTCTAGTTTTTATTGTATTTATTCACAATGTAATTTCTCATGTCTTCTGATTGTGGAGTGAAATGACTCAAACATGTTCTTGACAGATGTGATAATCACCTGTTTATTGGAAAACAAACCTCTATAAGCACATCATTTGTTTTTGTTTTTTGTTGTTTTTAATGTCAATGTGAGCACAAAACCAGATACTTGGTTAATGAACATTTTGAATGAAGAGTGATGGCAAATTAAATGGAAGCAATGTCTGGTTAAAAGAAAGTAGGGTGTGGAAGGGTGTGTACATTGACATGGCGCTTTATTTATTTAATTTTCCTGCTTTGAGGTAAAAAAAATAATCCCCAGGCTATGCTCCATATCTCTGTCTGCATGCTGGTTTACACATCAAATAAAACTCTCGCTGGCTTGCACAAACACACACACACACACAAACAGCCTTAATGGGTATAAGAGTGGAATCCAGGGAGACGAGTTGATTCTCTGCCTGTTGGTTTTGAAGGGCATCGGTAGGGCAAAATACTATTAAAATGAATTGTGGGGAAATACTTTATATTAAAAATCTTTATTTTAACTGATTTCTATCATTGCAGTACAGGTAATTACAAACCATCTGTGCTCTTCGAGTGGTTTACATTATGGACAGTTATGCATGTACATTAATTGATTAATTTACTAAAGATAAAAACATAATTCCTTCATCTCCAAAATCTTTTTTTATTATATTTTCTTTTGTTTTGCTTTTCATAGTGAAATTGGACGGGCTCAGTTAATTATTTTTCGTGAATAAGAATGTGTGCAAAGCGTTGTGGGTAAATGAAGGACTCAAAGGAGACACTTGATGCATCCTATAAAATTGGCCCAATGAAGGATCAAAAAACAAAGGCTGCCTTCAAAAGATCCTTTCAATTATGCAACAGTCGGGTTCCGAAAGTAAAAACTTCTCCATAGAGAAATTGACTTGTAATGGTAACTTTATAAACTTTCAAAGACAGCCTTACCATGAGCTACAAGGTTGTTAATCGATGTGAATCGTTTGCATCTGTTGACCGTCAGCCCACATTATTTAAACTTCTTAAAATAATTGTTTAACAGCTGAATATGTGGAGAAAAACTACATTACCCATGATGCTGTTCAAAAAATTACACCAATTAGAGGGTTTAAACAAGCAAAACATAGCAAAAGAGCTCTTATTAGCTCTGCCCACTCCCATGAAGCACTCTCCCTCTCTACGCTCTCAAAATACTTAAATGTTTGTATATTTGTGCATATTTTGCAATAAACTTAAAATATTTAAGTTTTTATATAATCAACATGTGTCAATGAGTAGTTTTATATATATATATATATATATATATATATATATATATATATATATATATATATATATATATATATGTGACCGATCACGGAAACTAGGGACACAAGTCGGTTCTTCGGCATTTTGAGTTATTCATAGATTCTGAAAGTGTAGTCTCCAAGCTTTCCAACGATGTGTAACACGTGGAAATCTGATAATATTTGGAGAAGTTGTGGCCATTTGAAGGTAGGAACTCAAAAAAAGTAAAATGGGAGAAAACGGCCTCAAAAGATTGTGCATTCTCACCTCTCTCTCCTGCTGGGAGTGACAATAGGGCTCATTTACATCTCATTTAGATAAGCCATACCCCCTGTAAAGCTCCCCCTGTGCTTTACAGCTTTTTTTTCTTTCCTGAGCTAGCTAATAACAATAGGTAGGTATGGGAAGGTCTAAACAGACTAAACATGAGATAACATGTACGTGTTCTTAGAATTAAAACAAAACGACAAACTTTAATGCTTAATGCAAACTCACCCCCAGGACCGGCGAATGCACTTCTGCCGCTCTAGGCGAAAAACAATTGTGCTGCCCCTCTATTTGCAACGTTTACCAGCAACAACACACAAAGACCAATATGCCATATACATATAACGCAAAACCAGCAACAACACACAAAGACCAATAAGCCATAGGCCTACATATAACGCAAATAGTGCGCAACGCGCGTGTGCCCAAAATGTCAACAATATTAAAGTTTATGCAGGAGGTAAATGCCTGCTGGCATTTTTCTTTAAGCAGTCATGACAGGAATTTTCCAAATAATCATATTTCCTCCTCAGATTACTGTTGCAAATCTCTTTACACCACTTTCTTATGTGCGTATACACACACAAATGAAATGTCCGCAAGCACATTATATCATCAGCAGGTTCAGCATCTTAAATAACGACTAGAGAGCAAATGAAGCTTAACTTACGTTTCAGAAACGCGCACGGCAGGCCTTCATCGCAGCAAAGGTCTTAACTGCATCCTCTATTTCGATTCTCTGTGCCAGTTCATGTTCTATGGAGATTGTTGCCAGTCCATTAAGTCTGTTCCCTGTTCACAAAACGTTCCCCATTCAAAGCAATCGGGACATCACATATGAAACAGTTAGCCACCGCTGTCAGCGAGCCGAGCCGCCGTATTCAAGCACCGAGGGCGCGCGCGCCGCGCCCATACCTCCGGTTCAGTTTCCCGAGCCCACAAAGTGCGGCGAAAACATTTTCGGTGTAACTGCCACGCTTCAGCTCGTCTGCGACAATCTTTGCGGCGTCCATCTTCATTGAATTTTGATATCAGATAGAGCCGGCCAGAGCGCTGCATATTAAGTAGCCACGCTGTTGGGGGGCGGGGGCAAAAGCGCCGGCGGCTATTCAGTATGGAAATACACACAGACAATGACACGCCCCTACTGCATGCTAGAATCTCCGAAAAACAAGCCGATTTCAACCTCAAAATGTACGCTTTTAAATATACCAATACTGTTATCTCAAACATGTAGAGGCTTCTTCATGATCTCAACTAACAGATTCTGCAAAAAAGCGGAAATCACCAATTTTGGAAAAAAACGCTTCTTTCTCATTTTGCTCGCAAGTTGTGCTGCCGACTTGTGTCCCTGGTTTCCGTGACGGGTCACATATACACTCACCGGCCACTTTATTAGGTACCCCATGCTAGTAACGGGTTGGACCCCCTTTTGCCTTCAGAACTGCCTCAATTCTTCGTGGCATAGATTCAACAAGGTGCTGGAAGCATTCCTCAGGGAGTTTGGTCCATATTGACATGATGGCATCACACAGTTGCCTTAGATTTGTCGGCTGCACATCCATGATGCGAATCTCCCGTTCCACCACATCCCAAAGATGCTCTATTGGGTTGAGATCTGGTGACTGTGGAGGCCATTTTAGTACAGTGAACTCATTGTCATGTTCAAGAAACCAATTTGAAATGATTAGAGCTTTGTGACATGGTGGAAGTAGCCATCAGAGGATGGGTACATGGTGGCCATAAAGGGATGGACATGGTCAGAAACACTGCTCAGGTAGGCCGTGGCATTTAAACGATGCCCAATTGGCACTAAGGGGCCTAAAGTGTGCCAGGAAAACATCCCCCACACCATTACACCACCACCACCAGCCTGCACAGTGGTAACAAGGCATGATGGTTCCATGTTCTCATTCTGTTTACGCCAAATTCTGACTCTAACATCTGAATGTCTCAACAGAAATCGAGACTCATCAGACCAGGCAACATTTTTCCAGTCTTCAACTGTTCAATTTTGGTGAGCTCTTGCAAATTGTAGCCTCTTTTTCCTATTTGTAGTGGAGATGAGTGGTACCCGGTGGAGTCTTCTGCTGTTGTAGCCCATCCGCCTCAAGGTTGTGCGTGTTGTGGCTTCACAAATGCTTTGCTGCATACCTCGGTTGTAACGAGTGGTTATTTCAGTCACTGTTGCCCTTCTATCAGCTCGAACCAGTCTGGCCATTCTCCTCTGACCTCTGGCATCAACAAGGCATTTCCGCCCACAGAACTGCCGCTCACTGGATGTTTTTTCTTTTTCGGACCATTTTCTGTAAACCCTAGAGATGGTTGTGCGTGAAAATCCCAGTAGATTAGCAGTTTCTGAAATACTCAGACCAGCCCTTCTGGCACCAACAATCATGCCACGTTCAAAGTCACTCAAATCAACTTTCTTCCCCATACTGATGCTTGGTTTGAACTGCAGGAGATTGTCTTGACCATGTCTACATGCCTAAATGCACTGAGTTGCCGCCATGTGATTGGCTGCTTAGAAATTAAGTGTTAACGAGCAGTTGGACAGGTGTACCTAATAAAGTGGCCGGTGAGTGTATATATATACAGTGAGGAAAATAAGTATTTGAACACCCTGCTATTTTGCAAGTTCTCCCACTTAGAAATCATGGAGGGGTCTGAAATTGTCATGAACCATGAACCCATGAATCATGAGGAGTCAGTGGTGTTAGACATCTGACCAGTTTTATACATTTGTAGACGTTTTAATTAGACATTAGTATAATTAAAATGAATAATGGTAGTTAATAGTTTCTTATTGCCCTGTTTAGTTAAGCCATTCATAGAACAAACAAAACAAACCCTGACAATTGATAAAAGGACATATAGACACTTGATAATCTTATGTGATTAGATAATTGCATTTTGCATCTT